GATCAGTTGCTTCTTCGTGTTTTCCTACACGGTCGGGCCGCGGCGGCGATTCTTAAGAGAGCGATCACGCGAGCAACTTTGTTGTCGGGGCCTTTCGCATTAATTAGCCCTTGCAAAATTTCGCGGCCCCGTACGATGCTCCGGTAAAGGTGGGACGTAGCTGGACGCGAATGGTGGCGAGGGTCCAGGGTTTATACTTCTGGGAAGATGGTCGTAAAGACCGCTTGGCTTCACTGCCTCTGTTATTAGCCACGTTGCTGCGACTTAAAGCGAGCAAGGCTCCGGGAAGGATACTGACAGGGCCCTGGGGATATAATCGCGCTTTACCTTTCACCCGGGAGGAAGATCTGACTAATCTTCTTGGCTTGCTACTACAGAGACTACGTGTTTTCGACTTGTATGCAAGTGGTTGCACTTTGCCGAAAATCGAACATTTATTTCACCGCTAGTCTGTTCATTAAACGAACACGCCATTTTCCCGCTATTTGCGACAAAGTGAAATTTTATAAGTGGTCTGTGTGCAAATATCCAAATGGATTAAATGAATAAAAGGAGAAGCGCGTCGGGCGAGAAAAGTTACGGCGAAAGAGACTCATTCAAGGAGATCAATGTCTAAATAATCGCATTTCTAGGATATCTTTGTTTCGAGGATATCTTTGATCGTCAATCATCGATAATTTAATAATCGAATGCAAAGAAGTTCTTTTGTTTCGTATTGGTGAAACGAAAACTTGGAGGTGAGAAGTGGCGCACGACCGATGTCCCCTCACGCGAGCGAAAGGGGGAAAGGTAGTGCGCGCGAGGGCAATCCCGACGGGACAGAGAAGTTTTACGCGGGGATTATCAGGAAGCGAAGCGAACGCCCATGAATACGGAGATCCTCCGATAAAAGGACGAAAAAAGAGACGACGGCGGTGGAGCTGAAAGGAAAAAGACGGAACAGCACGCGAGTGGAGGAACAAAGAGAGAGAGTGAGGGGGAGAGAAAGAGAGCTGGGAAAGAGTTGGTAACCCAGTGCCGCCAGGAGAGTGCCAGAGCAATGTAGTCGACCACGAATGAGCGTACCAACGGATGGAGAGGCAACACTTTGTAGTTTTAATCGATCCGGTGGGACGGGGGAGAAAGACGAAGCACCCTAGCACGGGGGATGAGTCGGCGGCGTGTGGAGGAAGAGCGAGGGAGATGGTCGGAAGGCGAGAGAAGGACGGGCACGTTCGCAGGAAGCGGGACGAGTGTCGCTGATACGGTGCGAGCGAGAGGCACGTCTACGGGAAAGCGGGAAAGCGGGATAGAAGGAACAGGGCGAGAGAGTAGAGACCCACATCCTGCCGACTCCTACAACTTCAACCACCAGCTGGCTACACTCCTGCCTCCACGGGGACGAGTTATATGTGAAAAGCACGTGGACCTTCGGGTGGAAGAAGGACGGCTGTATTCATTCATTTCCTCGTATATTTCGTGTAAGAGACTTTCCCTTCTTCTACGTCGATGCTCGACGTATACGCTCGTCGAGGAAAAAGGACGAGCGCGATGCACGCGTTGAATTTCATTGACCCCCCGCGATAATGTGACTCTACACCCGTATATTAATCGCTTCGTTCTCATACCTTCAGCAGTGCTTCTTAAAGGGTAAGATTAGATATTTCTATCAAATCTACGCTAAACTTAGCACTTGTCTATACTGCTTTTTCATATTTTCTTACAACGTTCCAAATGTTATATTTATTATAATTAATCTTGCAATGATTTTATCAAAAATAGCAAACATGATTGTGTTCATTGCGTCAGTTGTAGAGATAAATAAATAACTCGTGTTATGTATTTCGACAATATTCAAATTTCAAACTAATACACTTCATTTCAAACTAATCGCTTTATCATATCGACGACGCGATATATAAATCGATTAATGTTTTTAGTAGATTGCAATTTACCGAGCAAATGAACGAAAAGTTTGCAGTTAGATCTTTTTAGAATATAATCGCTCATCCTGCGTGCTTCGTAATCGATACAGGAAAAAAACTTTCTTTCAACAACTTTATTAATTAGATAACTGTATTAATTTGGATTTTCTTACAAAAGGTAGTAAAGAATTGTGGGAAAAAGTTGATGAAAGAGTGAATTCTTTAAATCAAACTGGCTATCGGGCTGTTCGAACCGTGTCTAAGGATCGAATCACGCCGGAATATGATCGGGGTCGACGTCAGAGAAATTGAGGGGAGAGCATTAAAACACCGAGGGTGTGGACGGTGTCAGTGGCGTCGGCGAGGGCGGCACGTAGGCAGGAAAGGGGTAAAATTCTATCTTAATAAACGCACCCTTCCAGCACGCGCAGCGTGTAACTTCGTACGCCTACAGTTTTGTACGCGTCGGAATGGATTTGTAATCGAATCATGTCAAGTGATTTCGCTCTGATTTCGAATTAAGGACGGAACTAAAGTTTATAACATTCAACATCGAAGTCGCATCAGACAAAATAAATTGAAATTAGTGAAAGTCGTGGAAACAATTCTAACCTTTTCATGTGTCACCATAAAGCAAGTTTTCCAAATGTGTTACGCTTTACAATAATAATTTTGCAATATATATTTAATTTAGCCAAGCCTGTAAAAAAGCTTAATGCAACAGAATTAAAATGTCATTGGCGTCAAAATGACGTTGCTATATTGTTTGCAACTTGTTTATAAAGTAGACATAAATTTTTAGTTAAATTGTAAGTACTTCGTATGGGTCTTACTGAAAACGCAAGTATACTCGATATAAAAATTTCATATTAACTCGTTAAACCGTCATTAAAACTTCATGGCTCGTGGTACCCTTCTGGTCACGTCGTCGGAGGGTTGAGTGTGCAAGAAGGTCGTGTCCCAACGCACTTGTAATTATCCATAAAAGTTAATAACCGCATGATTCTAATGACATCAATAGAGTTATTCGGTTGATATAAAGTAATCCAAACTTCGTAATTACGTGACAGGAATTGATGTAGGAATGAACTGCTATTTCCGCGATACGCACCTATCACGTGTTTGCTTTCTGTCGCAATTCTATAAGTATCTCATCCATCTTGAGCAACGGTTAAAGTGACACGGCCATCATCTTCGTCGAGACTATATTAATTTCCGTGATAGGATTAGAGATCAAATGTTACACTCTGGGAATAAAAGACAGTTAGCAACCCATTTTGGGGCCCACAATTAGTAATCGAATTACTTGGATTGTTCGTACTCTGGACAAAATTTTGATCGTTTTTTATTGTAGTTAAGCAACATTTCGGTTAGTGCCTCTTGAGTGAAAATTATCTTTGCGTTACTGAATATCGACAGAACTAATTGAGAGAATTGATTAGCATTACTTTAAAATCGTGGATATAGATAGAACAGCTAATTGCGATTTTTAGTTACATGGGGCAAAATTCGTAAAGGATTAGAGCTACGAACAATACAAATAATTCGATTACTAATTGTGGGCCCCAAAATGGCTTGCTGTCTTTTTTCCCAGAGCAGTAAGATGTTACTTGTTATCACATTGTTATCATTACGGTTATGCGCACATTACAGTTCAATATTTCGAAAGGGAAGAAGAAAGAAAGTGGACACTTCTTCGATGCGCTTTCAATGAAAGCTAGCACTAGTTTAGGTACTCGAACCAGGCAGTGAATTTATTTAATAAATAGTCGCTAGATCTTTGAATAGAAAACGGTTCGCGCAACCCTTTCTTTTTGTAACGATCAACGACTTGGCATGGATACGCGAAAGAAACATTTCCATTTCGTAAAAGCATTGAGAAAAAGATGGCCATTGGTTAAAGACGTTGGTCATATCAACTTACTATTGCGTGTATATGGAATGCTATAGCGATTCTTAAAGTATTTCATGTTTTCACGATTACGTCCATGCCACAACAGTGTGATAGCGCGACTTCTGCGAATCCTCTCGAGACTCAAAACAAACGCGTTTAAATACGCTTGTGTATACTTTAAGAAGCGAGTCTCGACTCTACGCGAGAGAATCGTCAAAGGATCGTGAATATAAATCAACTCGCGAGAACTTGGGTTATTTTCGATTTCTAATATCTGCTCTTATTTCCACTCTAGACCTAGTCTAAAAAAAAAGTAAACCTTGTGACTTGCAACTTATTCTTAACTCGTGTGTCAGCTTTTATCATAAACGGTTTTATGACTGATTAGCGAACGCCTACGCTAAAAATTCTTCCATTTCCATGAAACGTTGCCGATCGCAGGTAACGATTAAAAAATGTAATGCCCGTTCTACACCTAGGGATGATCCTACTTGTGGCTCATCCGAGTGGAGAAGTTTACACGGGCATTTTAGTATGATTCCACTATGATTTTTAACCGTCTTCTTATGTAGAAATGGCACCCGAGTCCATAAACGGTCTCAATACGACGATCTTTGTCCATTTATTTTACTCACTCGGATGAGCCACAAGTAGGATCGCCCCTAGGTGTAGAACGGGCATAAGTTTTTAGAGTCGAAAGTGAAATTTTCCTTGCAACGTGCGCCGTCGCCGAGATCGCGTTCTCCAACGACACCAACGACCTTCTTACCGCGCGAGTGTCCGACAGACAGTCGCTGCGAAGTGTCTCTCGATTCCAGCGATTAGTCCTTAAAATCACACTGCTACCTACGTGCCGATCATCTTCTTTCCTCCCTCGGCGGACTCTCCGGGAGTCCGTATCAGTCCTCGGTGCCGATCGCTCCTCCCGGGCATCCCCGCCGGCGAACTCACCAGCCCCGTCGGGCTGATTTGCATCACGGTTACGAGCTCGTTCGAGCTCGTGGTGGTTATATTACAGAGCGAGCGAGACGGGGACACGGTGGAAAAACAGAGACGGACAGAGGTACCTCTCGCGGCTGTACCACCCCCAAAGTGCATCGCGGGAGGCAGCTCGGACACTCATAACAATCATAACAACGGGATCTCGCGAGTAACTCGCGGACCACCTCCGCGCATCGGTACCGCCCATCGTACCGCCTCCGTTACCCCTTCCACGGCGACTATCCACCGGGCGGGAGAGTCGTGACGGCGGGCTGTTCTTCCCTCGGTTGTACGCCGGGGCCACTACGCAGCCAGACTGCGGACCGTCAGGGTTCAGGTCCGAGTTTTCGCGTCGAGCTCCAATCGCGCAACGTGCACGGCCACGCTGCCGAGCGAGGACGCGAGAAAGGGAGTGAATCGGCCACCTTCTCCGAGAGCCTGAACCCACGTGGGACCTGGATCGTCGTTCGTAGTGCCGATTGCGCAACAATTTCACGTCGGAGGGCTCGAGCTAGAGTTCGCCAGAAGAGGAACCGGACGGGATCGGATGATCGACGCGCCTCCTTCGCGCGGATCGATTCGCAGCGTGTTCGTGAAAAGCTAGTGTTTGTGGCCCGGAGAGTGACGAGGGAGTTTAAACTCGCAGCTGCGTGCGCCGATTTGTCCGGCCTATCAGCACGTGGCCGCAGGGGTGGGACTTCTTTCGGTGCGCCTCGCGGGACAGTTAAGCGCGGTGAACTCTGTGTGTGACAGTCGGCCAGAAACGCGCGATCGTAGAATCACGATTACGGTCGGCGCGAGTTGACTCCGTTGACAGCCGCGTCGCGCTCCATTAGCAGCTACGTCGAATTAACTCCGGCCGTGACGACGACCGCTCCGACCTGCTTCGTGTTTACCGAATGTAAATCAGGAGCGGGCGCATGGAAACGTTAAATCGCGACAAGTGCGTAGAATAGACGACAAGGAGATCGATCGAATCAAGGGACTCGACGATATCGGCGCGAGTGTCGGGACCGATCTGCCGGATCTGATCGAAAGACGAGGGATCCTCGAACAGGATACGCGATGAAACGAGGACTGTGCCACTGATAAGTCTCTAATTGTCGCGACAAGTGCGCCGATAACGACGCGCGCGTCATCGTCACGTGGACACGTCGGTGTTTTTCAGCACGAAATTGCGCGTTACGGACAACGACTACCAAGTGCACGGTTCGACGCGCGCAAATTTGAATAATTAAAAGCACATTACGCGGGAAGGCGCGCCTGCCGGTCCATCCGTCACGTGTCGCGGCATCGAACTCGGCGAAATATCGTTCCCTCCAAAAGACGCTGGCACGTCCGGGGAAGGCCGGGGACGGAGCTCGCAAGTGAAGAGTTTTTCGAAAACGCTTGTCGTCCACCTTCCCTTCAAGCACGGATATCGCCCGAGGCGACACGCGAGGCGAAGCGGTGGGATCAATCGAGTGGTGTTTTACGAAGCAGCGGACAATTAACTGTTTGCCTCTTGATCGCTCCTAATTACTCGCAATTAGCCGTTGTAATCAAGTAGGCTGATGTCACCGGCGGCCGATGTATCAGTGAATCGTCCGTTCCTCGACGTCGATTCGCCACTCCTGCCGGAACGGCCTGTTAATACTTGCCGCAGGAAAATTACCGGAAGATCGTGAAACTCGCGGGGCGAGGTGAGGTGCGGGCGGCAGAAGGAGGCAGGGGTCTCTCGGAGGGAATTAAGACGGATCAGCCGGGTATAAGCGCGGCGTCGGAGAAGGTACGAGAGGGCAAGGCAAGAGCGCGGCCGATCGGCGGAGATCGGTACGACCGCGGCGGAATTGCACCGTGGCGGAGATAAATAACAACCGCTAAATAAATCCGCGTCAGGACGACGTCCCAAATACATCAGTCACAGATCGCCTCAGGTGAGTGTCAGGCACGAGTTCGCTCCCGCTTATTATAAGCCCGGGCTAATCTCGGTAATTAGATGGGTCTTCTAAATGCGCGCCCGGTCGGCTGCACGTGTGTAGCCTCTCGCGCTCGCACACCGATTAGCCGCGTGTACGGACGCGCCTGCGCCGTGCATTACGTGCACGCGCGCGTGCAAGCGCGCTTAGATCGACCTCGCCGACGGACACGGCAGTGGGAATTAATTAATTTCACATTTTACGTATTTCGCGGTCATAACTCGAAGGGACAATTAAAAAACGATTGGATTGTAATCTTTTCGAAATGGCGGGATCTTCCGTCTCGCGCGTGTCAAGGTTTGTTGTCTTCTTGGCGCGTGAAATTTCATGTCGACGGTAGCTAAACAGACGTTAGAACTCGATACGGAAGCGACTCCGAAGTGACTAGTGGCAAGAGAAATAAAAAAGAGGGAGAGGCGAGCCACGGGATCCGTCTGTTTTCACTGCCGTGCGCGTACTCACACGCGGCACTTGCGTGCCTCGTGAGCGATAATCGTTGGCTCGATATCATTAAGTTAATCTCGGTAATTAAGGAAGTTCCTCTCCCAAAGCTTGGTCACGCGGGAGTTCTGCTGGCACGGGATCGAAAGCAGCGTTTCGTTCTCTACGCTTCACTTGAGCTCGGTGATAATTTCATCCAGATACTTAGCTACGTACTAATAATTAGCGCGATAATTATGCGCGCCCGCGTATACTCGCGTCTACGTTAAGTGTGTGACCTGGAAATGCTAATTAAGGGACCCGACCGAGCACGTAAACGTAACGCGGCCGTGCGGGATTCATTTAGTCTCGACTGTCTTTTGTGGAAAAAAAAATGTGAAGGAGCATCGTGCAGATGTTACATCGGATAGGACTCACGGTACACGAGTAATTATCATGATTAACAGGAATGTGACGTGAGCTATTTTTAAGATGTCCGATATAGCATTATCATTTATTCCGAGTGCATATAATTGTAAAGGTATTAAAAGTAAAAGCTAAATTTATAATTCGAGAGGAGAGACGATTAATTTACTTGAAGAGGGATGTGTAATAGAATTCGGAGATATTGGACTAATTAATTAATAAATTTCTATGAGTCGGCGGAGAGACCTATTGTTTCTCTATTTACATCGGGAAGCTAATGGTGTTTCGTAAGGGAAACGATATTGATTTCGAAAGATATATATGTCAAAGCACAATAATCTATTGTTCGATGAGACAATCGCCGGGGAAATAGCTCATTTTACATAAACTGCATAAGTAACAATGTTATTTATCGGCAATCCGAGTATAAGGCTGCGTCGTGCGTGCTAAATTAGATAATCGAAATTTGCACAGGGGTCCAATAAAATTCAATAACGGATCTGCTAAAGGCTGATAAGCAACTTTTACGTATCCCCCGTTAGTTATATCGCTCTTATTTCTCTCGTGCGAAACAAGTTTTACAATATTTCTGCGCCACGCGAACCTTTTCGACCGTGCGAGAATACGTTGGCGGATAGTTTTGTGATTAAACGGCAATAACGTTGAATACATCGCGTCATCTCCCCGACCATATGACCGGAGAGGTAAACAGGAGCACGTGTTGGTGGCGTGACTACGAGTGACGGCGTGAGCTCTGGGGGTGGAGAGGAGGCAGAAGCAGAGGTGGAGGAAGAGGGGGTGACGGTGGTGGACGGGAAGGGTGACGAGGGTGGAAAATCAGTGTGAGCTGCCCGAGGGTAGGAGAGTTCTTTGCTTGCCGCCTCGGGAACACGGAGGGTTGGAAAGCGAGAGAGAGAGAGAGAGAGAGAGAGGGGGGGGGGGGAGGGTTGGAGGAGCCGGTGGAGAAAGAGAACGGTAAATTCTATCCGCCGAAAGTGGAGGCGAGATAGCCGAGGTTGGCCAAGCGAATCATTGTCGGTGGGAATAGATGCGGAGAGTTGAAAGCAGAAAATCCCAAAGGAAACACTTGACTCGCGATATCGTTGGAGTTTGGCGCGCTGGAATCGACACAAAGAAAGCGAGGCGTTTCATCTTGACTAAACGATGCCGAATTTTACCGACACTTTGTTTCAAGCTTTCCACGCGCTACGCGAATAATACCGTAGGAAAGGAGTGAGAAATATTCAATAGTATTTTTTTTTGTGACAGTCCGTCGTCGCGTCGACATTTCTCTTTTAGTCAACATTAAGAAATTGGTCGAGAGAAAAGTCGAACGCAGTTGTTTCATTGTCGCGATTAAACTATTAATTGCACATTCTTATGAAGGAAAGACCAGCGAGAATTTTCTTTGTTGTGAATTAATTCGAGGGGCTCGTAATCAGAGATCTCTAGGTTCGCTGTATTTGTTGTCGAGGTCAAGAAAACGAATCTCTTTCTTATATCTTTTCGCGGCATCCCTCTTTTCTCTCTCTCTCTCT